CTTAGGGTTCCCCGTCTGGTTACAGACGGGGTAGGGTAGTGTTAGGCTTAGGGTTCCCTGTCTGGTTACAGACAGTTTAGGGGGGTTAGGGGCTTCTTAGGATTCCCATCTGGTTACAGATGGTAGTTGTAGTAGTAGTGGTAGTAGTAGTAGTAGTAGTAGTAGTAGTAGTAGGACTAGTAGTAGTAGTTGTCGGAAGGAAATTTTGGTGGGGACGACACAGCATCTGTCTCAAGTGTGCGTCTGTAGTCGATCTTTGAGCTATAGTAGTGCGCCAGAGAAGTGTTTTTGCAAGTTAGTTCAGAACATTTCACACAGACAACCCACCAAAACAGTTACAACGCGAGCCGGGCCGCCGGGTTGTGCAGACTAGATTACCTTAGACTCCTTAGAGTTTGACCTTCAGATTTACATAGACATAGGATGCATGTTGACATGCGGCGTTTCTTTGACTACCTGATGCCGTTACTCGCATTGTGCGTTCTCGGGCGTGTCTCGAAACGGACGAGTGATGCGGAGTGGAGCCGGCCGGTGAAAATGACACAGACACCTTGGTTTGCAAGTCTTGTGCAAAAACATCAGCTGCAAGAGTGGCTCGTGAACCGATGTGATGTGAAGGACAGGGCAGCAGTATCGGGGCAGTGTGAGTGCGATATATTGGTCGAGGTCGGAGACGGTCGTGCCTACGATGGCCCATTGACCCCGTGGAGCGAAGAAGAAAACCTTCTGTGGGAGCATTTAGGCAGGCCGCATGCTGCAAGGTCGCTCAACATCAGGCGCAGCGTCGTGCTGCAGCGCCCCATGCTTGTGCAGCGACCTTCGCAGCTGAAGGTTCCAATCTGGAGCCCCTCAGTGCCGGCATCAAGTGTGGAGGTCCGTGGCGTCGTGCCTCCGGGCACAGGTGCATGTCTAAATGCAGCCGGTGTTTGCAATGCCTTGAATATTTCAGTTCAGCAATTGAATCAGTTCTTGCAGGCCCCGATTTGCTTGGCTATCCCACCCATACTTCTCAAGTTGATCAAAAAGGGGGCTTGGAACACAGTCATGCTGTTGGCCAAATGGCACCAACGTCGCAGAGGGGATGCCTATCATGGGTTTGCCCAGGCTTTCGATTTAGCAGCATGGCACGAGGTCATGAAATCATCGGGTCTTTTAGAGCGTTACGTTGAACCTCCCGCATTGGCACTATCCCAGATGGACGCTACCAGACTAGCCATGAGTTTGCAGGGCTGGGCTCCGCACATCTTGGCTGGCAATGACACTTTAGATGAGCAGGAATTGTCAGGCATAAAGCTGCGTCTCGAAGAGTTCGTGCTGAAATTGCAGAGCTTTGCTGGACCTGTTTGTCTAGCTACCCACAGCCGTCAGAAGACCTTCAGCCATGACACGGTGGTGGCAGCCCTTTGTAGCAGCATGAGATTGAAGAACAAGAAAGAGTTGGCACCCATGCTGCGAGAGGCTTTAAACCACATGTTTCCAGGCCTGAGCGCTGACATGAACATTCGGGTTCCGTCAGGCAGCACGCTTAGCCGGAGGCAGCTCCTGGTGGATGCAGCGTTCTCGTGCTACTGGAGGAATTTCTTTCAGGAGCACACCGGACCTCTTTATCTGTGGGCGGACTCCTCGCCGCAAGGAGGAGTGGACTGGCTACTTTCGATTGTGTCTTTTGCGAAACAGGATAGCTTGGCAGATTTAGTGTCGGCTGCATCGTTTTTGCAGGAATCCACAAAGCATTTTGAAGCAGCTTGCGCAATAGATGACAAGGACCGCATGCTAGAGATAGCACGGAAACGACACGAATGCGGCGTGCTGGTCAAATCCACCCTCGGGCTGCACAGGCAAATTCCAATGGCATTGGGTTCTGCTCATACGTCTTTGGAGCATAAAGTAAGATGCATGTGTCGAAAGCTGTATGCAGAGAGCCAGTCGATAAGCGCTCTCAGGCAGCTTTTGAGTCGTGTTCGGAGCATGACAACGGACATGGGAACTGAGATGTCCATCCCAGACTACGAAGCTGCAGGCCTTGAATCTGTGCTGCCGGCTTTCATGTTGGAGCCGGAACTCTTGAGTGAGGAGGATCCGTTGCTCCACGCAAGCGCCGATGCTGCAGCAAGCTCCGGTCACCTACTCCCAGAAGCACTTCTAGTTCCAGGCATTCTTCACGTGGTAAACAACATGACCAAGGAGATAGACGGCACTTTGTCTTTTTGGGATGGGTTTTTGCCGGGGTTTAGGGCCATAGCCAAACTTCTACATCGCACAGATCTTCGCCAGCGTCTCATCGCTGCAATCCGAGAGACCCCGTACGCCTGGCTTGAGTCATCTTTTGAGAAGGGTGTTGCTGCCCCTGCAGAGTGGAGGTGGGGCACGGTCACCGCCATTGCGCCACACATCCTCTCGCTCAGATCCGCTTTGCGAGCAATTTGGCACCCGAGTCTTTTCGGACACACGCAGAATGAAGAAGATCAAGGCGGCGGCGGTCGCGAGCGTGAGCCACTCCAGCTTGATGATATAACGGCTGCCGTTCGTTGCAAGAAATGGTGGCTGCAGCTTGAAGTTGTGTATCAGCTTAACCATTTCGGAGATGAGTTCTCATCGTGGGCTGAGGGCTGTCAGTGCCATGGGTGGCTGCGGCCCACTGCAAGTTCGGCGCCGCACATGCGTAAGCAAGTTGTCAGGTCGCAGGAGGCAGAGCATTTGAATGCAGCTAGACACTTGCTTGGCTTAAGTGCCTCGAACGGAGGGGATGGTTTTGAGTTCTTGTGCCCTTTGGCTGGACGTAGAGCGCCAGAATTGGCTTGCGGTGCAGTCAGCGAGCATTTTCGAGAGTCAATCGCAAACCAAACGAATCGGATCCGCCAGGCTGGTGTCGACATGGAAATGGACATGGAGGACATTCAAGAAGTGCTTGAAGATGTGTCACGTGCAACGGCAGCCATGCAAGCGTACACTGCTCAGAAACTTCAGTGCTGGGATGTGTTGCCTTGGAAGCTTTGCGGGGTAGGGCATAGCAACATAGCTAAGTCTAGGCAGTGCGCAGCTGCTTGTTTGGAGCTGTTCCGGGCTTCGCCGCAGCAGGAGCGTTTGCATCACAGAGTCACGTGGAAATATATGCGCGAAGGTTGCCAAACACGTGCACAGCTTGAAGCGTTCATCGCAGGAACGCCCATGTGTGATCTGCCTGAACTCAGAGTTCTGGTGTCTGAACTCCAGTTTGTGCCCACAGTTGAGCGTATCCAGGAAGGTGACCATAGCATAGTGCACCGCATGGTTCAGTACAGACAGGTTTCTGGCCCTTTTGTAGCTTGTTCCGTGCGTGTTCCTGAAATTCGCTCTTTGATGCAAATCCCTGTCGAGTCTTCTGCGTTCTTGAGCTGCTTTTCCGAAGTGGAAAGCATCGACAACATCGCCAAGCGGTTTGGCTTCTACAAGCATCCTCGGTGGCAGCAGGCCATAGCAGAGAAGCAGTATAAGAAGAAAAAGATTGTCCTTGCGGGCTTGATGATGTATTCAATGGACATTGAGTCCCAATTCAGCAAGATGCAATCTGTCAAGAAAGCCCGGGAGAAGCGAGCCAGGGAACGAGATAAAGTCCAGAAGGAGTGGAGCTTGCAATTTGAAAGGAAACGGAAATTTTCCTTGGAAGCCTTGCAAGAGGTGGCCATGTCTGATCACTTGCAGGAGGAGTTGCAGATCGGTCGGCTGTATAGTCTGCCAGTGGGAGCAGCAGCAATAAGCTCACTGCAAAGCAGGCTCGACCCTGTGCACCTGCGGCACGAGAGGACACAGCCTGCCCTGCCTGCTGCAAGGCCGGATGAGGCCCTAGCTTTGATGTCGGATGTTTTTGAGTATCCGGCAGTCGAAGCCGACGATGTCGTGATGCCAAGCACCCCCCCCGCACAGCCAGAACATCAAAGCACGCAGGTCCGTGACAGCGTCTTTTGGAAGTTGACTTGCGCCAAGCCGAGCAAGCACAAGCTGATGCGTCTCCCCGCAGCATCTGCTGGACGCCTGTCCCAACACGACTTTTGCGTTACTTTGCATCGCTGCCTCGAGATCCCAGGGGAGGGGGTTCGACTTGTAGAGATAGAGCCAGCAAGCAGCGAGGGAGCAGGCGGCTTTGCAACAGAAGCTGTAGGAGTCATGTCCGTGTTTCGAGCAGACTTGTCAGAGGTGCGTGACAGCATGCTGCAGTGGTCCTCTAGGAAAGACTTGTCGTTCACCCTTGCCACTTGTGAAGACATCCTGTCTCGACCCATGTTGAATGTTTTGAACGATCTTGTTGCTGCGAAGGCCTTTCCTTCGACAGAGACACGTGGCCAGCTGGTCGTAGGTTCTGCCGACAGGGAAAAATTGCAGTGTCTGGAAACACTTCGGCAAAGAGGCATGGTTTCAATGCTGTTGGAAGAGGAAGGCCAGAGCTCTTATGCATTTACCTCCTTGGGGGCGCAGAGCTTGCGACATCTGCGCCAATGCACGGCCCCGGCCCGCTTTTTCAAGTCGCCTTCTGAGCTTGCAGACATCCCAGCCGTGGAGTGGCAGTACTGCACCACGTGGGAGTTGCTGACTTTATTGCAGCATTCCGGATGGCTGTTACGGCAAGCGCCCCAGCCCAAGGATTTGAAGAAGCGGCCATTGCCCCCCCACACAGCCGAAGCGCTTGCAGACGGCAATTTGGTCTGGTATGTTCGGGGTCTTTCTTTGCATAACAGTAAGCTGTACATGCTGTCCCTGCTAAGATCCAAGGAATTCTTTGAGAAGTCTAGCCTTGCAGAGCTTCATCATTGCCAGCCCATAAGGTACTATGAGAAAGTGCTAGAAGGATCTTCTGATGGAACGGTTGCGCTGGCACACTTGAGCCTTGAAGATAAGGAAGCCGTTCCCTGTTTGTCCTTGGATGTAGCCGAGGACTTTCAAAGCGAGCAGCCTGCCAAAGCTCCACCGCCCGTGCCCAGGCGTCGTCGCTTGCAGGAAGCATCAGAGACAGTGGCTCCAGAGGCAGGGCCAGCACGGGGCGATATGACCGATGGGAACAAGTCCCAGGTTCAAGAGTTGCTTGAGATGTTCGAGGAGTGCTCGTCCCAAGCTCACACCAGTGACGAGTATCAGCGAAGCCTTGCTTTAGAGTCTCTCAGCCAGAGCGACTTTTACGAGCCGTCCTTTGCGGGCGACGGTCCTGGCAATCCCGAGCCCGCTTTTGCGGCACCGTCTGTGTTGGGAGAGAGTGGTGACTATTATGAGGCTGTAGAGGCCATGGGGGATAAACTGTTAGCAGTGGGGGCTGACCCAGTCGTGCCAGCGGGGAGCCCCGCCAGTGAGCCAGTGGTGCCAGCGGGGAGCTCCGCAAGTGACCCAGTGCTGCCAGCCGCGGGGAGCTCCGCCACTGACTTAGCACTGCCAGCGGGAAGCCCCGCCCTTGGCGTCGCGGGTGGTGCAGTGCCTGCCGCAAGCAGTGATGCGCCGAGACTCGGTGCAGGTGCAAGTGGAAGCAGGACGACAGAGCCCGACTCCTTTAATTGGGGACATTTCCGCCTCACCTTCGTCTCAGCAGAGAAGCGGCCGCCATATGGATTGTGGCAGGCCACGTGTCGATTCCATCGCAAAAACGAATCCACAGGCTGCAAAAAAAGCATGCAACTCGGCAGTGGTCCGGAAGCCAAAGAGACCTGCAAGCGTATGCTCATGTTTTGGTGCTTGCAAGCACCAAAACATAGGACGAAGTTAGGCCACAGTGCGGTTGCTTTGTCGCCCTCGGATGCTTTGCCCTTGGAAGTCTTGAACAGCAGGCTCTCAGAAATGCCGGCGCCGCCGGCCGTGGTGCAGACCGATGAGCAAATCAATGCAGCGAATCGCGGGCCTGAACCAAGCACGGGGGCCGCGGCGAAGACCAAAGCCAAGGCCAAGGCGAAGTGCAACGCCGCTAAACCCAAAGCTGGCAAGGCGAAGGCCAAGGGCAAGGCTCATGCGGCCCCTGCAGTGCCGGACGACGAGGCTGCGAGTGATCCAGAGTCTTCCTCCAGTTCTTCCAGTTCATCCGACTCCGATTCTAGCTCCAGCTCCAACATTGCGGACGGAGGCGAAGACAGCCTCAGTACGGATTCCTGAAGCCTGCAGCCAAAAGCCTTTTGCAATACTGGTGGGTTATGTCGGTTTCTTTACAAGTATACTATACTTTTGTCTTGGTCATGCTGCCTTTTGCTGGCGTCCAGTCAGGTCTGCTAACATCTTTCGAAGCTTCTTGAGATACTCTTGACTTCTGAAGTTGTTGATCCGGCTTCCCCATCCGAGACTCTGTTCGAATGCCACGATAGACTTTTGGCCTGCTGCCACTTCTTTGCTCGAGGGTTCATCGCAGTCTTTGTTCTTTGCCTCGCGTGTTTATAACTGTTGTCCTAGACTGACAGCAAAGCAGCATGCAGCACCTGGCTAGAGGCACCTGCTAAGGCCCCTCGTAGCTCTTGCTCCAGTGTAGGCAAGGCCATGGCCCATCACGACCGTGGCTGGTGGGGCGGAAGGTCAAGCGACTGGTGGGACCAGTCTGGGCAGTCTTGGAGCAAAGAGTGGCAGCCCAGGCAGTGGCAGCGTGGTGGCGACGGCCGTGGCTGGCAAGAGTGGGAGCAGCGTGACGGGCGTGGCGGTGACGGCCATGGCTGGCAAGAATGGGAGCAGCGTGACCGGCGTGGTGGGGACGGCCATGGCTGGCAACAGTGGGAGCAGCGTGACCGAAGGCGATGGGGTGGTGAAACTCACGACAACCGAGCCGCCGCCCCAAGCCAGGGGCGAGGCCGTGGAACAAGCCAGAAGAAAGCAAAGGGGCGAGGTCGCTGGCCCAAGGAAGGTCGATATGAGCGACGTAGCCAAGCGGCTAAAAAGAAACGTGAGGCCCGCGGTGCTTCGCGTCGACGAAAAGCTGCCGGCAACGTCGTGGCCCAGGCTGACGGAGAGAAGTCAGCAGGAGATGCAGAGCTGGCAGCTCCGGTTGCGGTTGAGGCTGCAGCAAAAGCCTTGGCAAAAGCCAGCAGCAGTGGTGAGGAGTCTTCGGAGTCGGAAGACTGTGCAGAGCCGGAACCTGAACTTGATGCTTCATCGGGTTCATCGAGCTCATCCAGCTCAATCCATGCGGGTAGCACCGCTGCTGCTGCGGGTAGCGCCGCTGCTGCTGCGGGAAGCACCGCTGCTGCTGCGGGTAGCACCGCTGGCAGGGGTGAGAAGAAGATGGCGAACCAACCTGCTTCCCTTGCGGGTAGCCCCGCGATCGATGTCAAGATGGAAGCCAAAGACAGCAGTTCTGGTTCATCTGACACGTGTGATGGTGGCGATGCTGCGTGTAGTCCAACTTCCCCTGCGGATGGCCCTGCGGAAGCTGCGGAAGGTAGCCCGACTGGCCTCACCAAAGTTGTGGAAGGCGCTTGAAGCAGTTCCAGAGATTTTGAATAGAAGAGTTTCACCTTTGCAGCCGGTGACTGGCTGGACCGTGGTACAGCTGCACAAAAGCTCCAGGAACC